TAACTAACTAATTTTATTTTTTCAAAATTTAGCTTAAGTTTTGAAAATGTTAATAAAAACTATATGACAAATTGTTTTTAAATTTAATTTTTAAAGACAAAAAACTAAAAACGAAATTGTTATCAAACGGACCAAATCATTTTGGTGGCCTATTTCAATCAAACTCGACATGATTCCTCTACTCTAAGAAGATGGCCTATGAGTTCGCTTTCCATTCCTGCACATACTTGGTGACATTCATGCATCCAAAATCAAGCAGCTAGAAATGGCAAAACAAGAGTAAACACAAAAGCATCAGGTAGTTCCAGAGTCAAATTTCAAAAGGCAAAGTTCAGGTTTCAAGCCTTGCAGGTGTTTGTCTTAAAACAGAAAGGAACAATAGTTTACGAATAAACCCAACGGTCTGGGAATGGCGTAGGCGATGACTCTGATGTCTCGAGCCAATTATTCAAAGCCTAAAAGAGGACTGATTCCATCAGAAGAGTGGAGGAACTGCACCACTTCAAAGTGACCAGTGCAGATGCTGGGTGGAGTTGAAGGCGCTCGAATGCCCGAGTTCCATGTACGACCTCCTACCTTGATGATGAGGAAACTGGACATCACCAGAGAAACTGGTAAGCGCCTGTGAAACTTGATTCAGACCCAGATCAGATGTCAGGTGGTCCTGGGAGCTGCTGCTAGCAGCAGCTTCATTCCCCTTGAAACCCCACGGTGCGGTCGGGAAGTGGTTGGCAGCAGCATGAGTTGCTGTAGTTTGAGCCACGAGCGCACCTTCAACATTCAACAAGGCATTTACCTCAAGAGCCGATGATGTTCGGTTTCTGGAGCCCCATGTTTGGTTTGACAGAAGAGAGAGAGCACAGGTTGAGTCAGTGACTCCATTGATGCATTCTCCAGAAGGATTCCCAGGACCAGAAAAACTGGTCCCAACTGCAGAACCTGGCACGAAAAGTTCAGATGGATTGTTCTCAGAGCTGCTCTGCCATGGATGAGGGGTATATTTTCCCATGGCAGTGATTGTTTGGTTTCCGGGTACCCGTTCAGATGATTTCATAGCCGACCATACATCTCTTCCGGTTAGCTTCGGGTATGCACTGAAGTCCATTAGAAAACTTCCAACCCTGCTGCTGTTTTCTATCATTGCAAGCAGCAAACAAATGGTTAGTTTTCCGCAAAAGATAAGTTGATGATACAAAAATTAGATAGCTCTTTAGGTTAACTTGAAGTTAGATCATTTTTATCCTGAAGTTTAGTAAATGATGATGGCAATGTCTAACCAAAGATCGATGAAGAGAAGCGGCCATAACGAGTGGATAATAATGACCCGGGTGGAGGCTTCCTACGGCGCTCATTATGACCAGCCAGACGCCTGCGACAACTACGTTTTCCTTGATCAAACTCAGGA